TAATGAAAGAAAATTAGTCATTGAAATTTTTTTTACTAAAATTACTAATATAATCCTAAACATTTGTGTGATAAAATTTAGCTCTGATAAAATACACTAATGAACAATGAAGAAGAAATGGAATGAGTAAATACTTATTAAAAGCAGCTTTTATGAATATGTGAGTTTTATTTGCTAGGTATAGTGCTGTGTTTTTATCATACATCATTTTCAGGTAAAATTTGAGTATTTGTTTGATTTAAAGTTACCTTTAAGTTGTTGGGTGTGTGATTAGATTATAGTGATGAAGTGGGTATGCACTTGCTTCTGCAGACTTTGTGGTCTTACTGATGCAGGCCATTGAACTACTTGGGCTTGGAGCTCCTTAAGGGAACAGTCAGTCTGGTTTGATATAAAAGTGTGTCTAACTATAGGCTTTTTTTTTTTTTTTAAGTATTTTGTAAACACTGTGGGAAAAGTAATTTACTTTGCATTGTATATTTACAACAAGATAATGATGTAATTTCTGGTTTAATTTTGACGATAGTTATTATTCTAGTATTTTTTTTTTATAGAGTTTAAATTCTCTGGGAGCCGGGGAGATGGCTCAGTGGATTAAGCGCTTCCCTGGCAGGCGCAAGGGCCTGAGTTCAATCTCCAGTTCCGCCAAGGGAAAAAAAAATTTTCTCTTTGGATAATTTTGTAAAATATTTTTATAATGGATTTAAAATACAATTAGGCATGTATATGAGCCCCTGCCCCCAGTTGAGACCAGGCATGGTGAGACTGGGTTGAGACTGGGCATGGTGGTGTGGGCCTGTAACCCCAGATCTTGGGAGGAAGTAAACAGGTGGATCACTATGTGTCCAATCTAGTAGTGAGATAGACCCTTCCCTAAAATACAAAAATAAATTAACAAACAAACAATTAGGATTTTTTTTTTTCGTAAGAGACCTAAAAATTGCACTTGAAAGGTGTTTTCCAGGAACACTCATATCAAGATTTAAGTAAAGATTATATGTTATCTGAAAGAATGTAGCAAGGGAAAAATAATTAATATTAATCTAAACCATTTGAGTAGATTATTCCCTTCATTCTTTTTTTTTAAGGTTTTGTGTGTATGTGTGTGTGTACACGTGTGCAAACGCGTGTGTATGGTCTCACTACACAGCTCAGACTCATATCCTTCTGATTTCTGCCTCCCTAGTTCTGGGATTACAGGCGTGCACCACCACGTGGACTCCATTGCTGGTTCAGCATGCCCAGGGGCAAGGCTGGTGGGGCATGTGGTGCCAGAGATCAAACCCTGACCCCTGCACTTACCTAAGCTAGTGCTTAGTCTGCTGAGCTCTACCGCCAGCCCTAGTCCCTCATTCTTATGAGTGTGTAAATACATACAAATTGCTTTTAAGTCATTTAATTTTTTTTATAATTTTATTAAGTTGTATGATAATTTAGGTTCACTTGCAATCTTTTTTTTCTACTAGTGATACTGGCTCTTTCCTTCTTAGTATGGTAAAATATATATAAAGTTTACTGTGTGAACCATTTTCAATTGCATAGTTCAGTGATAATTGATTAATTTCAGACTGTATCTCCAGAATGCCTTTCTTTTTTCTTTTCATTTTCTTATCAGTACATGTTTGTAGTACATGTTTACACTCTTTGTGTGGTATGGTATATGTGGATAACACATCTTTTAAAAAATTTTATTAGTACGTGAATGTAATAAGTAATGTTTATCTACCTTGGGAAGTTGATACATGTAATAATACGTATCAGTTCCTTTTTGAAAATCAGGGGGGCTACCCCTTAGCTCAGTTCTTTAAGTGGCTGCTTCAACCAAGCAGTCAGGCTCAGGTTGCTGTGGTTCGATCCCCACAACTCAAGCCAGCCAAACCTGCCCTGAAGGCATTGGGAGAAAAAAAAAAAAAATCCTTCTGCCTTGGGGCCAGGAAGATGGCTCAGTAGAATAAGTGCTTCCCTGGCAAGTGCAAGGGCTTGAGTTCAATGCCTGGTTCTGAAAAAAAAGAAAGAAAGAAAGAAAGAAAGAAAGAAAGAAAGAAAGAAAGAAAGAAAGAAAATAAATCAGATTTTATTTGTACATTTTAGATATACATAATGATCACATTCATCATAGAGAATTCCTTTTTTTATTCCGTTTTTTTCCCCTTCCTCCTCTACCTATCTCTTGGTCCCCTTCTTTCTTTGTATATGCTTACAATCTGTGTATAAATTCCATGTGTGATTAGTACCTATACATATCACTTCCAGATTCCTCTTTTCATCCCCTTCCTTTATGCTCCCTTCTTCTTTTGATCCTTTTTCTACTTGAGAAAGATCAGTGTCCTTACTTATTATTCTCTTCTCTCTTATTTTGCTCTCTATTCTTTGGGTTTCTCACAGCAGAGACCCTCTGAAGTTTGTACGTGTGCTGTTATCTCAACTAATACTATAGTCTCAAGGTGCATCCACTTTCCTATAAATGGCCTAAGTTATCTTTCCTTACAGCTTTGACACCACTTCAGCTCTATGTGTGTGTGCAGGCACACATACCAGGTGCCATTTCATTACTACTAGTTCATGGTACAAGTCCACATTCGCCACTGTGCTTACACTGATAACTCAGGGTTGTGTTACTTGGTACCATAGGGAAGTCTGGAATTTCTTGTTCTATTAAGTCCTTTTACTGGAGGGATAAAAGCCCTTTATTACTGCGTTGCATGTGTTCTCCAGCAACACTGCAGTGGTGGTGGAGAGGTTGCCCTTGTTCTCACTCAGTATGGTGCTGTATCTCTGGGTAACCTAGATGCCATCACCATGAGCAGCGATATGGTCACCTTGTTGGCTTCGAGCAGCAATATTGTCACCTTGTTGGCTTCGTAGTTCTCTACTAGCACTGAGGATTCTTTGTTAACTCCCAGCAGGGATGAAAATCCTGGTCCCACCCTAGGTTTTTATAACAGTCATTACATTCTAGTAAGGGTAGAGGTCTGAGGTCACCATCTCAACTTTCCCTGGTGAGGCTGGGGTGGAGCTGAAGTGCTTTTCTCTTATGCTGGGTGTATGTGAGTAATTATTTCTAGGTTTTCTGTTGTGCTAGATTGTCCTTTTGTTACTCATTTGGCTAGAGAGCGCAGGCTGGGTGGGCAAGTAGTTGAGGTAACTGGTCTTTATTGCCAGCTTCTGCAGTACTTGGGTGCGTGAGGTAAAATAGAAAAACCAAGAAATGTCCTGCTGTATTGTTCAGGGGTCCTGAGGACCATGTCCAGTCTTCTTCCCTTTACTGTTCGGACTCTTATGGTAGTTATATTTCTAGTTGTACTCAGTGGATGGAAATGGAAAAGCACATCTGTCCCTTCTTCCCAGAATCAAAGAGTACAATACTTTGCTCAGCTATGATTTCATTTTTTGACATTTCAGTGATTCACAGTTAACTGTAGTCTGAAAATAAGAAATGGAAAAGTTCTAAATAATGAACTAGAGGACTAGTCTATGTAATGTGATGAAGTTACTACTCTCCTCTGCTCTGCCTCGGACATGATGCCTTTCCTTTGTTCATTTTATCTATGCTGTATAGCAGTCCCTCATTATGATCCCAACAGGATGTGTTTGAAGACCCTGTACATGCCTGAAACTGCAGATAGCACTGAAATACCACCATCCTCCTTTTTATATGTACACATGTATGTCACAGTTTAAATATAAATTAGATAGTAAGAGATTAACAATAACTATAGTTCTTGGCATTCAGCATAAAATTATTTTTCTTTGTTTACTCTGTTGCAAACTTTGGCGTTTTTACTTGGTAGAAACTGTCTGTCATCTCTGAATTGCTAGCATCACTATTCTTGTACTTTGGAATTATGAAGAGGTAAAATAAAGGTTACTTTAACATAGGCAGTGTGCAGTACTGTGATGGTTGGTCTGATAACTGGGGTGGCCCCTAGGTGACTGTGACCTGCGAGTGGTAGTGGATGTGCTGAACCTGGCTAGGTAGAGTTGCATGGTCCACAGTTTTATTGTGCTGCAAGGAATGACACACAGCTCAAAAATTATAAGTTATTTCTTTCTGGAATTTTCTTTTAATATTTATGAGCCTCAGATGAACTTTTATTATTAAAACTGCAAAAGGCAAGTAAGATGAAAAAAGCTATTAAATGTTTCAGATTCTTGCTAACACATTCTAGCTGTAGAGGACTGTCCAGCCCGTGACTCATCTTTTTTTCTCCTTTTTTGAGAAAAGAGGAATTGTCTCTGGCTATAAATAGTTAATGTATATAGGTAACAATACTTACTTTATTTTTTGCTTTAGTTATAACATTTAAAAGTGAAGGAACGAAAAGACAGGCTGCAGGTTTACACTCTGGGTGTGCATTTTGCTGGTGCATTTTGGGGCAAAACAAATGTCTATCGGCAAAAATAATAACAAATTCAGAACAAAACTTTAGGATCAATCCCTGTGAATCATATGTCCTAAATTGAGGTTTTTCCTGACAATTCAGGGACTGACTTAATCACTAGTTTTTACCTTTCAAGTTTTATTATAACTTATATTGTGTTACTATTCAAAGGAAAGTCCACTTTCTCCTCTTTGATCTAAAGAGTGACTGACATTTATGGAAATAGTTTTCAGGTTCTAGTTATTCTTATAGATCTTTTTAGAATCTAATTCTTTTTTTAACAACCATGGGTATTTTGTGGGGATTTAATATTCACTGATTTGTTATGTGATACAGTGGAAACATTTATAGCATGCAACGGTGGTTACTGTGTTATAACATGAGAAAAATCAAGGTCTTCATTCCATGCCTACATGTGTAGTGGTTTTAAGTTGCCCCAAGAATAAAATGTTATTGCAGATGTTTAAATCAACATTTTTTCTTGACTATAGAATTTGGGCTTTTCAAGATCTGAATTAGGGCTGGTAAGATAGCTCAGTGGAATAAGCACAGAGTCCTGAGTTCAATCCGCAGTAAAAAGATCTGAACTAATGTTGGTGTTGGATTTTTTCCTTGCAGAATGATGGCCTAGAGCACAGTGAAAAGAATTTCTATGACTCTGATGATGAACAGAAGGAAAATACTGACAGAAGGAAGAAGCCCTACACCATGGATCCAGACCACAGACTCTTAATTAGAAACACAAAGCCCTTGCTTCAGAGCAGGAATGCTGCAGTATGTTAAAGCATTTATGAAAAATAATTCATAATGTCTGGGGTGTAATGCTTAAATGTATTTTAGCTTTCAGTGTTTCCAGGTATGTAAGAATTAGACTTTGATGCAAATAGCTGGTTTGATACTTGCTGGCCTAATGGACTTAGTTTACTTTCTTTTTTATTATTATTATTAAAATTTTCTTTTATTTTGAAGAGTAAAAAGCAAGAGCAAGAAAAACAAAATCAAAGACAGAAACAGAGTAACATATAACAATACATATGTCACAGATTTTCAAAATGAGAATAGCTGATTCACAGTGATTGATATATTATCTATTTTTATCATCAAATCTGTTGCTCAGATTAACAGATATAGTTATACAAGATGGGACATATGATTGAATATTATGACATACTTTCAAGAAGTCTTAAATTTTTGTTCTTGTCTCTCATTTTCTTTTATTACCTTTCCAAAAATACACTTGAATGAGAGTAAAGTACTAATTGATATGACATTGGAAACAGTACAAATGTGGAAGACCAAAATGACAGGTATTTCAAGCATGGTTTCGATTATACATTGCTGACCTCAATGTAGTTGCTCAGTTGACAGATACCAGCATATAGAGTTAGGGTGAGAATTCTACCCATTAACTGCTATTTTTAAAACTTGATGGAAGTTCTTAGGACCATTGCCTTATCCATCTTTTTTTTTTTTTTAATAATTTTATTGAGAATCAAATGGCAATGAGACAGTTTCAAAACTGATTAGTAGGACAGTTTCAATAATTAATACATTGCATATTGTTGTCTTCTTAGTGGTTATTCATAGTACAAGATGCAGACATGATATCCTGTCCACAAATAACTATTAGTACAAGTCTATTCATTGAATTAAGAGAAAGTAGCTGTATATCTGTCCTATTTTGAATATGCATATACAAAATGGTCCTTCATTTGTATCCCTTTTTTTTTGTTTAGTTTTGTCAGAGATGGGTATTCCATTGCCATTTAAATATTGTAGGTGCATGAATTCAGCAAAATATTCCAATATAGTCCAGCAGTCCATAATAGTAGTGGGTTTTCCGTAGGACTGGAAATGTCAGAAGTTGTTGACTTGAGCCTTTTACAGCTCAGCATATTAATATGGCTTTACCTTTTATACCTCATTTTTATACTTACGCTGGATGATTAAGACCAAGATAAAGCAAGACCAGTATAACAAGAAATGTAACTTTTGTATCTGACAAGGTCAGCCACATCTCCTCAGGATTTACCCTGAAATCCTGTACCACACTTTGTAGATCCTTTGTCAGTGTCAGTCATGTGGATGAGTCACGGCCGTTGCTTGACCAATGTGCTCTCTGTGAAAGCCTGAGAGAATGTTTTCTCTCCATGTAGCTCTCCTGAGGAACACTACATCATCGATCACTTTCCTCTGTGGCCCCATAATCTCTTTGATTAGAAAATTTGGAACACAACTGAGTTAGTTTACATTCTTGACTTATTTTACATGCTTGTTGTTTTGTTTATTGGCTTTTATGAAGATGTACACTCAAATTGATTTTTTTTTTTTTTGGCGGGACCAGGGATTGAACTCAGGCCTTTGCGCTTGCCAGGGAAGCACTTATTCCACTGAGCCATCTCCCCGGCCCCTTCAAATTGATTATTGATTAACTGGATTGTCTTTGCCTATGGAAGAACCATGTGTATTTCTCAGTCTGTTAGGGTTGATTTTTACTAAATCTGGTGGTAGTATTTCTATTTATTGCTAGAATTTTTAAAAAATTAAAATAGAACAAAATGTCTCACAAGGTTAAATTGGTAGTAATTAAAAATCATCTTTATTTGGGTCCTAAGCAATTTTTGACATCTTTTCATTTTAAATAATCTTTTATTTTAAGATACATGTTCAGAATGTTAGAAAATACAGACTAGAAAAATGAAAACAAAAATAAAACATCACATCCTTGTCATTGAGAAGTCAGTCTTAACATTAGTACATTTTTTATCTGATCTTTTTTGTTTGCCTAAATGTATACATATTCACATATAAATTGTGTAAATTAATTAACCAGTTTATTTAGTGACAGGGAGTCCCTCTGTAGTTTAGGTTGGCTTTAAACTCACTATATATCTCATACCGACTTTGAACTAATCGCAATCCTCCTGCCTCAGCCTTCCATGTATTGGGATTACAGACATGTGCTACCATGCCTATTTTTATTTTTAAAAAAACATTAATTAATTAATTTGGCACAGGGTCTCACTATGTAGCTCAGACTCATATCAGCTTCCCTAGCACTGGAATTACAGGCATGTGCCACCACGACTGGTTTTGGGGCAGGCATGGCACACCCAGGGTCCTGGGGCTAGCACAGTATGTGGTACTAGGAATTGAACTTGGGTCCTTGCGCTTGCCAGGTAGGCGCTTAGACCTGAGCTATCTCCCAAACCCTGGCAGTCTATATTTTTAAACCAAGGTAAAAGTAACATTGTATACAGTATTTTTTCAGCTCTTTGTTTCTAGTCAGTTTTCCTCACCTATTTCAATATAATTTCATCTCAGTTCATACCAGTTTATCTTCACTTACCCTTTTTAGGGAATTTATCCAAGCCAGAACCTGATGTATTAGATATGGGTATCATATGTTTTAAAGTCTCTTAAGTTTTTCTGCATTTGGCTGATTGTTTCTTTTATAGTCACTTAATGTATTCTTGTATACCCCATGTTTCCTGTTACTTGGCAGCTATGTCTAGGCTTGGCCGGTCATGAGAAGCATTTTCTTAAAATTTAGTTCTTTGATTTTTGAGCATTTAGAGCTTACAGCTTTGTGTATCTTAGTACTTACCAGAAATTTTTATCTTGCATGTAATAACATAGCTTACAAATTATTATTCAGTAACCATGCCCAGTCACAACAAAAGATACTATTTAACTAATGTTATAAAATTTACATTTTAATGTGTTCCAGCTTAGCTAAGTAGATGTAATTTACCACCTAAGACTCTGTGTTATTGACTTATTATATATGTAAAAGTTTCAGTCTGTCTTGGAAATTGACTTTGCACTTCAAATACTGATGTTCTCAAATGAAGAAACACATGTAATTTGCACTTTAGGTTCCCTGCTTATTTATTCTTATACTAAGAAGAGGAAGTTTACTTTTTCTCTGTGTATTTTAGTATTTTTGATTAGTATGTATTTCTAATACATAATGATTATATTCCGTATGGTGAGTTGGCACATGTACATGACACATCTTTATTCTTACTTTTGACCTCTCTTCCCTTCATCTTTTAATCTCCTTCCTATATGGGAAAGTTCTATGTCCTTCTTATCTATCCTCTATTTTGTTCTTTACTTTTTGGAGGAATTTCTTGTATAAGAGAAACCATGTGATATTTAATTTTATGTGTCTGGTGTATTTATTTCAGTTAATACTATGGTATCAAGGTGCATCCATTTGCCTATGTATAACTCAAATTTATCTTTATGGCAGACTAGTACTCCATGGTATATAAACACCACCTTTTCTTTATCCATTTATCTGTTGATGAACTTGTAAGCATCCAAGATTTAGCTATGAGGATTTGTGTTGATATAAGTATGGGTTTGCTTGTATCACTATAATCACATTTGAGAAAATACCCAGAATGGGAATAGCTAGGTCAAATGAAATTTCTAGTTTTAGGTTTTTGAGGAATCACCGCACTGATTCACATAGTGGTTATACCAGTTCACACTCCCACCAACGGTGTAGAAGGTTCCTTTTCTTCACAACCTGGCCAGTACTTGTTGTTCTCTGATTTCTTTATGACAATCAAACTTTTTGGAACAAGGTGGAATTCTAGTATTTTTTTTTTTTTTTAATTTCTAGAGACAACAGTTTCTGATAGATTCTGAGAAATGTCTGTTCATTTCACTTGTCAATTTTTGGTTAGGGTATGATTTCTTTTTTTGAAGTCTTTATATATTCTAGGCATTAGTCTTCTGTCTGAGGAATAGCTGGCAACTTTTTTTCCTCTTCTGCACTTCAGTGGCAGTACCAGGAGGATTATGGTGTGTGCTTCGCCCTGTGCTGACTGTTCACCTTGAACATCTCATACCTGCTTTCTTTTCTGGGGATGTTAGCTTCCTGGCAATGATAGAGAAATTGCCACACGAGCTGAATTAAAACAGCAGAGGTTCTTGTTCTCATACGTTTGAAGAAACCTAAGGTCCAGAATCAGCGTATGAATGGAGCTGTCCCTTCTGGAGAACCTGGGCGAGGAGCTCCCACTTGGGCAGCCTCTAGGCAGTTGCTGGCAAGCTTCCCAGTGTCTTGACTCATACAGACATCATTTCAGGTGCTGCCTTCACCTCTGCAGTGCCTTTCTGCCAGACTTTTATATTGAATTTATGGCTTATTTTAATGTGACTTTATCACATCTCAGTCATTACCGTAATAACATATCTGCTAAACCCTGCTACCAAATAAGATTACCTTCTCAGGATAAACAAGAATTTTGGGGGAGAGGAATTAAAACTCCTTTAATTCAGTATAAAAATTGACATGTTTGGAGCCGGGGAGATGGCTCAGTAGAATAAACGCTTGCCTGGCAAGCACAAGGGCCTGAGTTCAATCCCCGGTGCCCAAAAAAAAAAAAAAAAAAAAAAAAAAAA